GATTGCAGCCTATTCTTCCCTTCTAGCATGCCCACATCCCCCCACATCTTGGTGTCATCTGCGATTTTGAACAGGGTGCTTTTTACCCCCTCGTCCAAGTCACTGATGAAGATGTTGAACAGTGCGGGCCCGAGGACCAAGCCCTGGGGGACCCCCCTGCCCACATCTCTCCAGGTCAAATAAGACCTGTCCACCACCACTCTCTGGGTGCAGCCCTCCAGCCAGTTAGTGACCCATCTGACTGTGTAGGTGTCGATGCCACAGTCTCCTTGTTTTTCAGTGAGAATGGAAATATGATACTTTCGAGCTTCCAGTACGATAATTCCATAAAGACCTGGCAATGCAGGCGGGCACAGTCTGAGGGGTGCCTGGGGTCTACAACAGCTGAGACCCACTGGACTGGAGGTGCCGTGGGTGGGTGCAGCCAGCTGCAGTCTCTTGCATTTGTATGCTTTACCTTCATTGCACCATTGGCACAAAAATCCAACAGTGCCCAGGTCCGTATTGCCCTGCCTCTCCCCATCTCTCACACAGGCCACTTACGTGCGCACAGATGAAGTGCCCAAGCCTCTGGTGCTCCCATCCATCCCACTGTCTACTTTGCCATTGAAACCTCCTCCCTATCACTGAAAATAAAGGCCTCCGCTACATGTTGCATATATTGCACCATTCACTAGCAAATCGTGCAATAGATTTAGGCCAGCCACACATGCAAGGGGAGACCAGCCACATGTGCAAAGTAATTACCATGCAATTATCTGGTGAAGCATGCAATAATTGGCCCCAGGTGCAAAGTGATTATCACACTGTAAAAATTACTTTCTCACTATTAAGAGAGCCAACCAGCAACAAAGTGCTTGAAAATGTGTAACAGCTCTATAGCTGGTTTCTTATCCAGCTTTAATCTGAATATGTAGCAGGGCCCAAAAAGGTGTACCAGTAGAGTAAAAAGGAGGCAGCTGGCAAAGTAGATCAGTGGGTGGCGGGGAGCTGTTTGAAGCCATAAAATTAAAGAGCTAGTCAGGGGCTCCTATGGGAAGCCTTCAATAGACCGTTTCAAGGCTGCTAATATCATATCACTGGCAGCAAGCTGAGCTTAGGGCCCTCAGGTTAAAGCTGGATGGAAGTCAGTTTATTGTCCGATTAACCAGTTAGTTGTGTGATAATTACTTTGCACTTGTGGCCGGTCTTACTTTTGCATATGTGGTGGGTCTACATTTATTGTGCAATTCACCAGTTAATTGAATAATATATGTAGTATAGCAAGTGCCTTATTACTTTGCATGTGTGCCTGGTCTAACATTATTGTTCAATTAACCAGTCAATTATGTGATAATTACCTTGCACATGTATTCAGTGTAAATTTATTGCACAATTTACCAGTAAATTGTGTAATATATGTAGCAGGGGCTATAGAGTTATAACACATTTTCAAGCACTAACTTTGTATCTGGTTGCCCCTTTTTATAGTTGGTTAGACGTTTTTATGGCATGATGATTACTTTGTATGTGTGGCCAGTCTTAATTTTGGACTTGTGGTCAGTCTAAATTTATTGTGCGATTTAATTGTTAATTGTGTAATACATGTAATGTGGCAGAGGCCCTAGATTGTTCTGAATTTAATAAGCATTACTTCCATTAGGTTTGAGAAAGTGCAGAGTCTTTCTTCACTCCTGAGGCTAGTCACTGAATTGGACTACACTGTGCATTGTATATAATAATATGACTTTTAATATGTATGTTAGAACAACTCTAAGACATAAACAAAATTAAAATAATACATTTGGGGAAGGCCACACAGTGAATTTGCTCCTTAAAATGTTTGCTCCCAGTCCAAATGCTTTACATAGGCCTATAATCCATCCTTATCAAAGCTATTCTTCCCAAATGTCCCCTGTTTTATTATTATCATGTCCTTTATTCTCCTTTTCCTCTAAAAAACCTCTCCTTTCCCCTTTTTCTTTTTCTTCTTGTCTTTTCCTCAGTGGCTTATTGAAATAAGTCAAAAAAGTGCATCTCCAAAGTGTCAGTAATATTTTCTGCCTTTTTGTGACATAAAATTATAGGCCCCCTATAGTGTAACTGCATACATTACGGATCATTCAGTGACATGCATTTTGTATTATAATCTTTACTTTCATGTTGTTATCATAAAGTTTCAAACTTACAAGTAAGCATGCATGGGGAAAAATTACAAAGGCATTTCTTTCGCAATAAATGATGTGTAAGCAAGTACTTTCTCCACTGTTGCTTTAAGCCTAGCACAGAAGATCAAGTCATTTGTCTCTCTTGTTTGCAAATATCTTAATAAATTAATCCAGTGCTCAACTCAGATTCAGCAGAGTAACCAGAGTGGATGCCTGTGACTAGACTCTTGCATTTTGAGGCAGTATCATGGAAGGTTACTGAAAAATTCAGAAACTTTTTCTAAAAAAGAAGTGTCAACAATGTGCAGGTCTCTAGACACTCAGCTCATTCAGTTTCCAAGCTGGCAAATCTTTTCATTTAACCAAGATACAAAGGGGATGACCCAATACAATATAGGGAACCACTGTGAGAAGATAACCATATTTTCATTCTTTTGATGAGCTGTGAAAGGTAAATCCCTTCCTTTTCCTGCAAACTGTGGAGCTCACATATCCCAAGTTACCTTATCGGCGATGTTTTTAATTGAATTTTATACCCCTCGCTACTTATGAAGGGCCACAATTGCCTCTGAAGATACAGTACTGTTGTTAATTTTTTCTCTCTCTTCTTTCAAGTTCCTCTTAGAACTATCCTTTGGTCACTGCTTCAAGACTTGAAGCTCTTTTTGGCACACTAACTTGTAAGATCATATATATACAGAGTACGTTGTAGGATCCCAGCAGTGGCATCTTTCTTTGACCGTCATGATTTTGTACAAAGACACTGTTCGGTATGGCAAACACCAAATGGCATCATCATCAGCTTTATTCTGTTTACAAAGAGAGGCTGACAGGGTTGAAGCCAGAAAGAATATTTTTGCAGCAGCATTTTTGATGGATATTTTGTGGGATAAGATGGCATTTGTCAAGGATGGGGGGAAGAAAAGCTTGCAGTGGTTGAGACATGAGATGACAACAGCCTGGGTGAGAGTTTTGGCTATGTGTGTGAATGGAAAGGGGAGCCTGGATCTTAGCTACGTTATGAAGGATGAAGTAGCAAGATGTAGCCATGCCCTGGATGGCATGGCTAAATCCAAACTTCAATCCATTAGGTCTTGA